ACATACTATGGATTCAACATCTCTGTTCCAATTTTTTTTTTGTACTGGTAAACATGAATTTCAACATTTTAGATATATTTATCTCGCCAGACAATGAGACTTTTGTCAAAAATAATAATATATAAATACTTTCCATATTCCTCTGAACCATCTAGTGACTGATGTATTTGAGTAAAAGTCGTCCTTGGAATAGTTGAGTAATCCAGTTTTTGAAATAATGATTGTTTCAACGATGTATTAATTATGGATTGCTTTGCGTGTCTTCTATAGCGTGGGACTATGCAATTGAAAGTAGAACGGAAGATATAAGTTAGATTACATCAAAATTACGGGTGTGATATGGATTCCATTTGATGGTCTCAGCGACTGATCCTAAAATGATATATCGTTTGTTTTCGAGTAACGACATTGTATTGAACGCCAATGGAACCTGAGCTGAACTTTGCCAAGACAAAACTTCTTTTAATTCATAAAGAGGGAGAAACTCAAAGTCATTACCTCAATAGTTTATTGAATGAAGGGAAATGGTAGGTAACGAGAGGAAAACAACTATATATATGCCATGCAGAACATTGAATTACATACTCCTGATATTCATGCAGATTCGTAAGACGAATACAGCTGCTCTCCTAATTCATTTTGATATTGAGTTTGGTTCGCATGATGCCGTTTGGAATTATTGAATTCTTGCGAGTGTCTATACCTCTTTTTCATAGGAGATAATACTTGACACGAGTATCTTTTGGGATTCAGTATCTATACAGGGTCGCTGATATGTATGGAAACGGTCTTTGTGTATTGTCAATCGGGATCGAGATCGGAATGCAATAGTGAATCGTATATCCGGTCGCAACTATACGAATCATAACTCTTTCCATAAACAGACATTCTTTGTTATGTCGGTATTGGAACCAGAATTCTTTCAATTACTAGTCGAACTAGTCGAGAGCCCATTCCCAGGTAGAACATCATATTGGCTAGAACTTGGTTTCATATTACCCCAAAATTCGAATATTGAATATGGAATTACTAGATTGCACCAATATCAAACCAATTTTTCATTTCAATATTCGATAATCAATCCATTGCCAATATTTTAATAACATTGAAATTTTGTGACCAGCCGATATCAATTTGTCAATATTTATTTGATATTGAAGGAATATTAACGATCACAATAATTATGTCAATTTTCATGATGGGCTGATATTGCATTTCCAATATCAAATCGATCTCGGAAAAAAATATTGACTCAATATCCAATTTATGATGGTTAGTGAGTATTGCATTTCATTGTCCAGCAATGTTGTGACAACATTGAAATTTTGTTTCCAGCCGATATTTATTTACCAATATCTATTCGATATTGGTGAAATATTGACGATCACAATGTCAATTTCCATGATTGGGTTAATATTGTATTTCCAATATTGAATCAATCATGGAAAAAAATATTGCATCAATATCAGATTTATGATGGTTGGTGAATATTGCTCTTCGTTGTCCAGCAATATTGCACTGATATTGGTGATTCAATATCATTTCGATATTCAATAATCAATCCAGTGCCAATGTTGTAATAACATTGAAATTTTGTGACCAGCCGATATCAGTTTGCCAATATTTATCTGATATTGGCGAAATATTAACGAATACAATATGTCAATTTTGATGATGGGCTGATATTGTATGCCCAATATCGAATCAATCTTGGAAACATATTGTATCAATATTTTGTATTTTTATTCAGCCAATATTAGTTCATCAATATGCGACCCATTTCAGATAGATATAACTAATGAAATATGCCAGAACCAATATTGCACTGACATTGGATTTCTGATATCGAATCGATATTCGTGATATTCCTCTTAGTATTTGTGCTACGTTATAACAGCTGGCGCCACTAGCACGCCTCCAACAAACGACTGCTGAGAGACATCAAATACCGCATTCGTTCAACTTGCAGACCAAGTATTCTGGGATACAGGAAACGAAAATGGATTTGATATTGTACAAATATCGCAATTCTTTAATGAGGCTAATATGGCTTCGAATTTTTATTTCGAGTTTTGTTGAAAAACGAAATTCAATATTGGTTGAATATTATAATTCAACATGAAGATAATATTGCAAAATAATCACATCCTCATCTTAGCCAATATAGTAGGGGAATATGAATTCAATATCGATTTCACATATGAAAATTATAAGAAACCAGTTTTCTATAAGTTGGCATCATATATTTGTCCAATCTTGTATACGAATATTAACTCGATATTGGATAGAGCATATCGAAACAAGATTGAAATTCAACATAGCACCAAGATTCCAGAATGTTCACATTGATTTATTGACCCAATAATTAAAATTAATAAATATGAATTCAATATCGATTTCACATATGGAAATTATAAGAAACCAGTTTTCTATAAGTTGGCATCATATATTTGTCCAATCTTGTATACGAATATTAACTCGATATTGGATAGAGCATATCGAAACAAGATTGAAATTCAACATAGCACCAAGATTCCAGAATGTTCACATTGATTTATTGACCCAATAATTAAAATTAATATTTTCCCAACATTCACCATTTATTGACTCAATATTGAACCAATATTAGTGTTCTACCTGGGTTGAGCTAGTTTCGATCCTAGGAAGTACTTGTTGAATTTAGATTTTCAACTTTTTTCAATGAATCAGTCACATTTCTCGTTTCGACCATAAAAGAGTTGGAGTCAAACATTTCCGAATAAGCAGAAGTATAGGTATATCAAATTACATCACATGAGTGAGAAAAATTTTATATTCATATAAAAATAAACAACAAACAAATAGCACTATAAGAACTAATTATATCACATGGAATCGTGTTTCAGGTTGCGTATTCACATCTTCCTTCTGAAAAAAAAAAAAAAATTTCAAAACATTACAATTTCATATGCCTGAGAAGATATATTTATATTTATATTTGAGGAAAAACTCTTTTACAGAAGATTATCGAATTAACGAATAGTTTGATTGGTCATATTTCCATCTCGTTCAATGAAGCATAGGAAACTGTTGGAGCATTAAATAATAGACGTAGATGAAAAACCCCCTTTGTGAGCAAAATTTTTTAAGAATTTGTATGGTATATACTTCCACGAGAAATATTCCTCAGATATCCATCACTAGCAATATCAGTCAGACGAACTCGACAGACCCAATCAGCATATCCCTTAGTCGTTAACCGTGAAAAATGTCGAACTTTACCAAAACTTGTTCGTCTATAAAACTGCGAAGCCCTGGAAATCTTTGCCAATGGAAGAATTTCCAAGAGATTATAACCTCCAAATGTTGAGGTTAAAATATAATTCCAACTTCTACCCCCTCTCCCTGTCCTCCCTAAGTACGCGCGACGCGCGATGTTCCACGAACATTATAGGAATTTAATTTGATGCGCTTCAAGAGATAAAAAGAGGCCTCTTCTAAATTCCCACCGCCATCACGCGGATTTCAATACTCACTGGTTTATTTGTAGCGACAGTCGTTTAAAAGTGATGACCTCCAAAATCGTGCCCGCCATAACTGCTACCAAAATCATGTTTGGAAATATGAATCGGTACTTTCTTCTCTATATAGACTGGGTAAGGTACTTTGACAGGGTAAGGCTTGGAAACAGTAACTGGATAAGGTTTATATACTGTTACAGGATGAGGTACTGGAACAGCAACTTTCACTGGCACTTTGATCGGTACTGGCACTGGCTTCTTGATGATGACTGGGTATGGTTTTTCCACGGTCACTGGATAAGGTTTTGGTACAGGTATACTGGATAAGGCCGATCTACAGGCACTTTAACTGTTACCTAAAAAGGTAAATTCATGGTATGAAGAAAGTATTAGAATGAATTGTGCAAATTGAATCCTGATGAAAAATGTCAAATCCAATACTAATGATGATTAAATAATGACCATAGTGCTCCCATGAGGCACTATATATTTTCCTCCCGAAATTCTGTACATGGTCTGATAGTTTTTTGAATACACCATGAGTGAATATAGTTAAGAGTAGCACAGAGTAGCACGACTATTCATTTCAAATTATACATTTGTGAAAGGTATATGAGAGACTCAATTCACAAAGAGAGGGTCACTTTCAGATATACAGTGTGACCCACTTCTAATGGAACCACCCCTGTTATCTTACGTAATCGTTGGGTAAGGATCCTGAAATTTGCTGAAGCGAGAGATATACCAGAAATGCACTCTATGACCAAGTGGGGTCATCTTCAGTGATATACACTGCTCGCCAACAGCCATGAAACCACCCCAATTTCCGGAAAATGATATTAGGAGTCAAAATAGGTTGGAAATCACTTCAGATTTGGAATCAGGATGCCCGATTTATAAGCTATTCAAATTTTTCCTGGAAAATTCTCAGTTGACCAATCACAACTTGTGTCATCGCGAAAACACTAGCTGTGTTTCAATTCTGATTGGTTCATCAGCGTTGGTTTTTTCAACGATGTAATCATGGATAGCGAAGCGAAGTCTGTCATTTTGACAAAAAATAATTAAAGCTGTGGTTGTCAGAATGAATCGCTCATTTACAATGAATGCTTTTAATGCTTCGTGAACGTGGAATAGTCTGGCAAGATACCACTCTGTAATGAATATCTTCTCATAATTCTGCCGTTCATTGTTAACTCAATTGTGTTGCTGTACAGCAACAGTACTCGTCCAAACGGTCTCATGGTGTTGCCCGGCAACATAGTTTCGTGAACAAGAGACAGAGTTATCTCGAAATATACAGAACATCGTGATATTACTTGATGATGATTTGTTTAGTGAAACAGTTTATTTGATATGAACATTGTTTGTATCTTAGCACTTTCCATGAGAAAAAAATCATGTGTTCCTATATTCAATTATGAAAATTATTTATTTGTAATGATACAGTTTGCGATCAAAATTGAATGGATATTTATTGAATGGATATTTTCAACTCACTTTGTATGGTACTGGAACATGCTTCACGACAGGATAAGGTACGGGGTGGGGTACCGGATATGGTACTTTTTTAGTGATGGTGATGGTTTTTGGATGATCATGTCCATAACCTCCTCCGTACTCTAAACCTCCAAAATCTCCTCCAAAGTCATAGAGTCCCCTCTTCTTGGGGTTCTTCTGATCTGATGTTTGATTCTCTGCGAGAGCGATTGTTGCCACACAGAGAACAATCTGTATGGAAAAAAGTGATGAGTTTTCTGACAAAAATACAAATGATTGCATGATCCAATGATATGATATGCTATGATGACATCTTCAAACAAGCTATAGTTTTGCTCCTCACCCATGAGAACATTACAAAGTCATGTTCAGGGTAGGTTCATTTTATCATTCAAAATTTTATTGAGTACTCCAAATGTGCTCAATGGGTTTTCCAAATTTTTTCGTTCATTTATCCATGTAGTTCCAGGAATATGAGCGAAGATTCCAATGTAAAGGGTGTCCTCTTCCTGAGTGAGCTATGATTAAAATTCTCCAAGTCTCGGCCTGGAATCTGGATACATTCGATATTTCAGATATCCAACTTCGATAAGAAGACTGATTGTATGGAATTTCAGGAAAATTGATCGAATCCAATGTAAATATTCATTTCCTTTCTACGCCATGAATATGTAGAGTATGGCTCGTGAATCTTCCTGTATACGGTACAAAGCCAGAGCATTTCTTTTTCTATACTTGTGTCTATTTATGATGGTATTTTTGATTCATTTGGAGAGGAAATTATACACGTCTCATCTTATTGTTATCACGAATTCCGAGATTCATTCAACTTGCTTGATTTTGATTTGTGTTTGTCAATTATCATCAGGCATCGATATGATCACTCGAGCAGGTGTGATTGATACCTATACCTACCTTATTGTCATAATGATAATCAGAATTTGCCAGGTAAACTTTTCCTGACCGATTCTGCTTTAGTCTCGAATTAATCAAACAGTGTTATAATGCAGTGCATCTGAAATTCACTTTACGAATACGATATGACCAGTAATGTTATGAGAATCATTTGTCATTTCAGCACTTATCAGGAGTTTTCCATCTCATTATCTTATATCATCATCTCGAATTTTATATCACGAATAATTAAATCAGATTCGATTCAAACATGGAGAGATCGATGTGAACTATAGGTATGAGGCCTAAGAAATCAATACTATAAAAATATGCTCTCACATAAGAATATTATTTTTGAAGAAGTCAGATGATTCATGTTCAATGATAATCCAGTGGATATGGAATAGATATAAACAATTTATTCACAACTTTCAAGAAGAATACAAAAAATGATGAGTAGGCATACTTACAAGAAACTTCATATTGACAGACCTATATTATAGTTATGCCGCGATCTAGACTGATAATAATTATCGGATCATAGCAATATATACCATCATAAATTCAAAACTTTCCCGTTTGTAACCCTTAATTCCACTGAAGTGTAGAATGCATTATTATGCCATTCGACTTATTGGAATATCTGTTTTTGTTTCGACATGGCGATATCTGCAGCGTTATCGATGAAAAAAGAAATCTCTTGGAATGAATAGCGATTGCACTTCCTTCATTGCTCCATACCTGCTTCTAAATCGAAATTGGATCAATCTATTTGGTTTACGCTAATTGCTTCTTTGTACGTATTCGTATTGAGAGGTAGTATGCATGTTATATAATTCGCACATGAGACTTACATAAATATTATAGGAATGAGTCGTGGAATATTTTTCATTACAACATCAGAGTGATTTTTTTTATAAAAATTCACAAACTGCATTCAGTAATGTAATTCTCGAATGATATAATTCATGTTCCGCTGAACACCCCTCATCAGTAAGGTGTTGGCATCATCGAGAATATCTACAGGGTGGGGAATTTGAGTGATAAAGTCTCGTTGAATGTTCAGGAACCAACATTTGAGGAGAATGCAGGGACGCCGTCGTATGTCGTACGAAATGTTGATAGTTGATAGGCGCCTTTACAATATATTGAGCTGAAATGACCAACCTTTTCTCATAGTTGATTGTTGTGATATTTCAAGACAACTGTAGGAACATCTCTTAGTACTCATGATTTATGGATATATTTCATTTGTGGCAAAGAGTACACAAAAAATATAAATAGCATACGAATCAGTAGTAACAAAAAAAAAGCAGTATCAAAGTTATGAAACATTGATTCAAAACATGAAATGGCGATTGTTTTGAAACAGATAATACAGAGGCCTTACAGAACTTATACTTCCCTAGCTTTACTTATCGTAAATTCATCAACAAGATTTGCTATTTCGAGTTGCTTCGAAAAGTCAGACTATAGAAATGATAGCAAGATTCATAACCGCTCTTGGCTTGAAATTTGTTCATTTGAACATAGGAACAGTTTGCCTTGGACGGGCTCTGTATCAAAATTTGTCGGTGAGGCCTTCCTACACAATTGAGGCGAAGCCCAAGTAGATGGTTTGAAGATTTTCCACAACTGGAAACAAAAACACTCGAGCTGAATGAGTGAATATATATTAATTATAAGTAATCACTCACAATTGATGCTCCAAGAAGCCAATAAGACAGGAAACAAATAGAATTTATGATTTTCCGCAAATTTTTGGACAAATTCATCTATTGAATCATCCATAGCTAGAGATGATCGTAGTTTCTCGAGATTTTCTGCATCTATATACCTAGACATTGCTGATGAAGTCTGAAGCTTGTCCCATTGAGGTCCAAAGATATTTACTCATCAGTTTGAATTTCGAAAAACTTCTTTCAGCTATTGAAGTTGTAACCATAAGGGGCCAAAATGGATACCGTTGAAATTTTCCGATTTTTTTTGATTGTCAAAGAATGGAATAGAGGTTGTAAAATAACACCACTAGTATACTGGTCGCCGACCGGCGGTGTATATTGAATAATATACTTTCTCCACCAATATATAGCTATAAGACCTACTCCTTTTCGAGGCGTGAAGTGTGATTCAACTATGGAGATAGTTTTCGTCATTTTATGAACCACAAGTCAATAAAGACATACCCAGCAAACATTGAACTAGCGGGAGAAGTCCGACCTAGTGCAGGCTAGTCTAGGAAAGTGACGATGCCGGGGTATTGGTAATAGGCCGTCTATACATCAACAATCAGCTGATTAATATTATATGTGACTAAAATTGCTGACTCTCGTGAGTGGTGATCGCGTTCTAGTATGTTTATGTCGAATTGATGTGGTCCTCTCTTTCCCTGGTGGTTATTTATTATGGCGGGAGTATTCTCAATTGATAATAGAACACGGATTCTTCAATTATGATAATATTGAGTAAATATCAATCTACTCACATAGTGTTTCGACTCTCATCATTAAATGCATGTGTTTGGTATCTCGTAACCTCATATACTTAATGATCATAATAATTGGAGTTGGCTATATACTTCTCCAGAAGCAACTATCATTTTTAACTCGTTTGTTGCTATCGGAAACAATCTTAGGTTATGTGAACCTGTCTCCATATTAGAGAACTGAATAATAATAAGGTTTCAGCTACAGAAATACCTGTGCCAAGAAAATAATGAGAATTGAAAAGCTCCATGTTATCACGTCATCACACTATATTATCAAGTTATAAACTCATGCAACTCATAGGCCGAAGAATCAACTTTGAAGAAATGCTACCCAATACAATGTAAATATCACATACCAACCAGTAAGCAGTCACTCCGAGAAGTTTCATCGTTGAAGAACAGAAAAGTTAAGAAGATAACATTGTGTCATTCATAAAATTGTTTTCTTGAGATCTGGTATGTGTCTGATTCATGATGAGAGGAAGAAGATAACATTGTGTCATTAATAAAATTGTTTTCTTGAGATCTGGTATGTGTCTGATTCATGATGAGAGGATTATATTGTGAAATAAAGAGATACTAGAACTTTCAGATCCATTGGACCCCTAAAACCTCTACCCTTTCCCTACCTCGATAGTGTGTAACCAATGTCGTTGATTGGCTATTACATTCCCATCATTTATGTATATGATGGGGCTTGCTATGGAAAATTCAATGTGTCGATTATGTTGTTTGCTGGGATAGCCACCTCTGGTATAATTATCCCGAATTTACTGACCAGATGCGAGATTCGCATTAAATATACTCGAATCTAGTAGGTTTTTATCATTAACGACTATTCATTATGCTGTCATGTTCATGACTGCTAGATCATAATTATTAGAATTGAAGAAAAGTGCTTTCATAGTGACAGTTTCACAGGTCTAAAATGATTGAAATGAATTGATAGTGGTGAAAAAATCCAATATACACCTTGTTAGTGAAGAAAATCAGTATAACCCAGGGTGACATTTTCCAACTATAAATTGTTTTTTTTTACAAGCGTGCGTGATTCACCCTATACCCGCACGCAATCTAGTTTGGGAAGTGTCATTTTCCCGCAACAGTGCGGGAAAACAAAGATATGATAAAATCGCTAGTAATATAAGTGGTTGGTGATGGGATATGAAAGTTTAAGTTTGTTTGTTGCAGTATCAAGTATGTATGTTCAGAATCATCCATCAAATTGCACTATTTATTGTAAAAATTAAGAAATATTGAGAAATAAAAATTGATTATTATAAAAATCCCCCTATAGATTTGGATTGATCTGACGAGATACGTCAATTTGTCATGCCAATCATACCTCAAATAAGTTTGAAATTGTCGAAGTGACAGACACAGCGTTACTGTCATTTTCGATTCAGTGGAAATGCCACAATGTGATCAGAAACTTCTAGCTATAGGGATTTGATACAGATGCGTTATCACCAACGAAGTCTTAAGAAAGGTATAAGAAGCTATACACGCGTTTTATTGAATGGTGCAACAATAAAGAAATGAAAAAACCGAATGAAGAATAGGTATTTTTGGCTCATTTCATAGAAGTGTCTGGAACCTAGAGACCAAACTCCTAATGGGCCTGCTGGCTTCCGCAATGAACCAACATAATGCGTCAAACTGTAAGTTCACAATAGCTATTACTAATAATTAATAGATAGAGAATATATATCTCTTGTTAGTTGTTCCTATTTGCTTGAATAATTAATTGAACGATTCAATCAATTTCCTACGCTTGTAGAGAAAATATTGTTCCTAACTCATGCGGAAAGTTTCTTTCCCGCACTCGACTGCTTGCCCGAACTCCGCTTCGCGTCGTTCGTGTCAACGGCAGTCACGTGCGGGAAAGAATCACTTTCCGCACTTGTTAGGAAAATTTCTATTTATTCTTCGGAGGAATATTTCAACTTGTAAAATAATGAGTCTTTGTAGTTCTGCTCTGTCTTTCGTATTTTTGGTTCCATGTTTTTGCATGTTTTCTTGTCTTTGACTATTCCCATACATATGTTACTATATTCTATTGAAAAAAAAATTATTATCATTATTATATGGACGTTGCGTCTCTGAACATATCGAGTGATATACTTGATTTGCTTCATACTAATGAGAGCAAGTTCATTCTTCAACCCCTTCGAAAGGGCACCTTATTATTGAAGAGCAAAAATATACCGGATTTCTCATCTTCGAGAAAATTAAGGAACACTTTCAAAATCGACTAAAGGTTTGATGTAACAATTTGAAAACAGCATATTGGGTGTTAAATCATCCCCAAATGAATGGAAATATAATGAGCTTGTGAAATCGTACGATTCATCATTTTCCGCATCAACAAAATCAAAAAAATTATGAACAAAATTCTTGACTTCCTCCAAGACTATCTTCACGTGATGTGAATAATCCAACGACCTTTCAGATGCTCTTCAAATATTCGTTATACCAAAATAGGGAAATTGTTCAAAAGAAGTTACGTTCAAATATCAAGGTCTGTCAGTTTTTTGTCTCAATTTAAGATAATTGAATCCGTCGAATGACAATCTCGAAAAGTTGTTCAGACCCCTTCTTACTATAGATCACTTCAACAATAATATGCCTGAAGTGGTATTATGTGTATATAAGTTTTTTGTTAATGTGTCAATATGATTTTATTCACGCTATCGAACGATTAATAATATCTAGGTTAAATCATACAGCCTCATAGAGTGTTATGCAGTTATGCGTCATTAAGTTCCAATAATATTGCCAGTCTCAAAATAGTTGGTGAATTTCCTAACACTATTTGGGATATGATCGAGGTAATGGGATGAAATTGTCATAAGTAATAATATGTATGAATATTCGAGATAATTCTAACGCTTCATTATTGTTCACGAAATTGAGCAACACAATTGAGTTAACAATAAAAGACAACATTTTGAGACGATGTTCAGAACAAAGTGGTATTTTGTTTGAATATTCACGTTCACGAAGTCTAAGAAGCATTTATTATAAATGAGTGATTCATTCTGACTAGTACAGTCATAATTATTTTTTGACATACGGACAGATTTTGCTTCGCTATTTACGGTTAATTCCAGACATTGCTTCGCTATCCATGGTTACATCGTTGAAAACATCAATGCTTAAAGACTTATCAGAATTGAAAGACAGCTAATGTTGTCGCGATAAGCACACGTTGTGTCTGACTTGTGATTGGTCAGATAATGTGATGAGTGGAATAGTCATCATACAGTGTGACCCACTTATAATGGAAACACCCCTGTATATCTTACGTAATCGGTGGGTAAGGATATACCGAAAATGCACTCTATGACCAAACGGGGCACCTTCAGTGATATTTTACTAGGAATATCTGTCTTAAGAGATTCATACTCAAACTTGATGAAAGTAAATAATTTAGGCACGTATTTATCTTTACCACCGCATAGTACTATGTGTTGGGTTCGATTTACAGAACTTCAAAGGAAATATGTTAAATATATCATGTCAGAAATATTGAAGATGAAATATATCCCAAATATATAAAATAAAAAATAAACATTCTGGCCTGATTAGGATCCTTCTCGCTACACAGCTGCAACCAGCTGCATCACCATGGGGAAATCTCTAAATGGAGGAGTGCCTTGAAGTCAGCCTACAAAAATGGCTGCTGTACGTTCAGGCTGCTTGCAGAACTTAACTGCATCCTGGTCTGGACGAAGATGGAAGAGCTCCCAGGCTTGGTTGCTCCATAGGCAGCCAAGAAGTATTGAGGCACCTGCCTCGGCACGACATGGACATAGTGGTGAGAGTAGAGGGTAGATTGATCACCATCGAGAGAAGAAACCGCTTGAGGATCCCCAGCACAGGAAGTTGACCTCATGGGGCTAAGATCCCAGCATAAAAAATCCCAACTTAAAAATCCTGTTCTACAAATCCCAGCGTAGGACCCTATAACAAACAGCCGGAGTGAAACCTCAGTCAAGTCTAGGCGAGTGAACCTGAGTTTGTCATAGAACAAGAACTCACCTTTTTCAAAAAGGGTTGTGACGAAAATGGCCGGCACGATGTGTTCCCGAATCTTGGACGAACCATGAATATTCCTGCTTCCAGAACGTCAAACGACTCTCTAGGCAGTTGAGTGGTGTCATTTGGTGGAAACCATGGCTGATGCCTCCAAAAATCCTGGATAAAACCAGCGAAACCCCACAGCGACTCACTTCACCTATACATATATGACTTCACTCATCCAGAGCCCACCAAGAAGTGACCATTCTCGGAAATCGGATATCGTCATCTCTCAAAACCGAAGAACGACAGCCGGAAGTGTCAAATCTGACCTAAATTTGACAACCTTGACATTGATATTTGTGGAACACCCAATCAGAGTGGATCTATCTCAGTCCTACCCTCCAAGCATGACTTTTCGGTAATATACCGATTCTTAAAACAACTCGCAACGTTGGAAGTTAAGTTCACTGGACGTTACTCTCCTACTCTCTATGCTTGTGAAAGGAGGTCCGATGTGACTTGGCACATGACATTGATGTGTTAGCTATATACAAGTGACAAGTAAATGAAATTACTTGACATGGATGTCAATATCGTCAGTAATCAAATTACATAACCGAAACATAATAAGTATGCAATTTCTATTTATTTACAAAAAATACCACTGTATTTTATATCCAGCCGATCTATATCAAGATTCAGACCTCAAACATACATCAGAAGACTACTATGATGATTCAGGTAATGTATTTAGGCATAACCTATATTTAGTTTGTAAACAACAGGTGTTTATTCTTTCAGGCAAAACTCTAGGAGCATTTTATTGATTGCATATTGATTGGAATCGAGTTGGAACATCATCTACTACCTGTTGATCATCGAGCTAGTACGAAAAGTGAATAATTTGGTGAGTATACTAGTGACAAGTTTCAAGTATTCCTAATGAACTATTCATTTCTTTTTTAGGTACTACGTAATAGAGGCAACTATCAAGCAACTTCATGTTTACAATGTGATTATCTGCTCGATATACTGAAATTAAAGTGTATCTAAGATTTGTGACTGAATCTGATATTTGAGTGAAATAAATGACAAGTATACTTGAACTTTTGTTATTTATAAAAAATATTTATGCATGAATAACTACTCTGGTATGCAACTACTTCAACATTTGGTTATGTCAACGTAATGTAGTGATATGATAATCTGGATATGATACAGGGTGTATCAATACTATAAATTAAAAAATTGGAAGGTATGTACTGAAATTTTAAATGCTACAAGAGACAGCTTATTTTGTAGGATATTTTCGTCGACACTTATCATATGAGTAGATAAAGATGCGTGATGCCTTCATCACTTTGTGTTCAATAAGAAAATCGGTGTGAAAGTATCATTCATAGACTAGGCATACAAAAACCATGTATCTAATACACATCGATTTCAGAAAATAATTAACTTCAAATATGTATTCTGATCGAGAACATTCAAACATTATGAAACTCAAAAACGAGTCACCTCAACTACTCATCTTCGGAATGATTTAGAAGATTTTGGTTACACGCTCCGACCCAAATAATGATACAGACAAGACATGTACAGAATATTACCCTACAATGTTCTCCTTCCAAGCAAATGCTAACTGATCTAGTTCTGAATACAACTCGTTCTATAGATCCGCATTTCCACCATTGGAAGTTTCGCAAACGATAAGATTTTCACAAAACTTCCTAACACCACAACATGTTTCGCTAACACAGTAGCTTCTTCTTCACTCGAAGAAGCTACTATGTTAGCGAAACGTGTCGTGATGTTAGGAAAGTTATTTCTGACCGGGAGATTAGGTAATAAGCTTATTATATCGTTATAGTTTCCTTATCAACAAAGAAGGTCATAACTCCCTTGGGACATTTTAGATTCTATATAATTCCCTCTACTTTTCACAAGGAAAAATGAAATAAGTGTTACCCACTTCTAATGGAAACACCCCTGTATCTTACGTAATCGTTGGGTAAGGATCCAGAAATTCGCTGGGAGCAAAAGATATACCAAAAATGCACTCTATAACCAAGTAGGGTTAGCTTTAGTGATATGCTCGCCAACAGCGATGGAACCACTCCAATTTTCGGCAAATGATATTATTAGTCGAAATAGATCGACAATCACTTCAGATTCGGAATCAGGACGCCCAATTCACTTGGTTTTAAAATGTCTCCTGGAAAATTTTCAGTTCTGAAAAATTTTCATAGAGTACATTTTTGGTATATCTCTTGCTCCAGCTAACAGGGTCCTTACCCAACGATTAGGTAAGATACAGGGGTGTTTCCATTAGAAGTGGGTCACACTGCATGTATGTGTATTTGAAAATCTTCCCATAATCGACGGTAGGTATGTACACTCGTCTTCAGTGAACATGTCGCGGTTGGACGGTATCAGCGTTTTTTTTGCAGCGGTATAATAAAGAGAGCTGACACCGTCCATGTGCGACATGTTGTCTGAAGATGACTGTACCTGAAAATGAACAGAATTTTATCGAAATTGGATAGGATATATTATAGATCTTGCTTTTTCTAGATACTACAAAAATAGCGGTATCATGATAGGTACTCACCAATTTGAGATTTCCTAGTACAGAGCAAACAAGTGGGTATAATCAAAGAGACACTGATACAAAATATAAAATATATTTCAGTATTGCTTCATGGAATATTTCTGAAAGTGACAGAATGAGAAGATGAAAATGTAATAACTATCAAGGAAATCATGATCTGCTTGTCAATGGAAATATATCACAGAATCGAAAATGAAAATGAATACATGAAAGACGGTGATTTTACAAGCAACCATGCTACCAGAATAGTGAAAAACAGTTGCAATGATATTCCGATTTGCACGAATATAAAAAACTCTCTACCCCCACAGTAGAGCTATTCTATACTCAAGAGGCTATCAGATGGTGACAGAAGGTCATGGGAGATTGAAATTATTTACAAAATTGAGTTTCTACACGGTGCTCAATGATGACCGTAACCACCGCCAAGAGACAACTCATGGCCACCGAATCCTCCGGAACTGAATCCACCATGGCCCAAACCTTCGAGACCATGTCCACCCAAGCTACCTCCGAGACCATGCCCTCCGAAATCACCTCCAAGACCGCCTCCAATTCCCCCACCGAATCCGCTGTCATGGCCAGTATTGATGATAACGGGCACTGGCTTCTTCACGATCTGGATATCTGGGACATGTACTGGCACTGGCTTGTGTACTGGCACTGGGTATGGCTTGGGAATGTGTACTGGCACCTTAACTGGTACTGGTACCTTGTAAGGAACCTTCACTGATACCGGTACGTTCTTGAAGACCTTGACGGGGTATGGCTTATCAATGTGCACTGGATACGGCTTGGGGACATGGACAGCGTAGGGTTTGTCAACTTTGTATGGTACTGGAACACTCACTGGGTATGGGATTTTTTTCTCTATATGCACTGGGTAAGGTTGGGGCACTGGTACTGAGATCTGTTTGTGTAGAGTGATGTGGCTAATGCGTTCCTCTCCTCCACCCAAGCCTCCTCCAAGACCTCCTCCGAAACCTCCTCCAAGTCCACCTCCATGACCTCCGAGGCCACCTCCAAATCCGCCATGACCTCCTCCGAGGTCTAATCCATGACCTCCTAGATCTCCACCACCAAGTCTGCCGTGTCCACCGAAGTCACCACCTCCAAGAAGAAGGCCTCGTTTTTTCTTAGCCGATTCTTCAGCGAAGGCTGCTGATAGAAACAGAAGGGTACAAATCTGTGGAGAAATAAATACATTCGTTCAGTCTCATCTATGATTATTTTTTATCATAGTGCATCCGTTGTTTTTCACGAAAAAACCTATTTGTATATTAGAGGGTATTAATAATTGATCATAGATTTTAGGTAATGTGCATCGCGAAGGAAGGTGAAATATAATTATTCTTTTTACAAACATCTCTAGACAAAAATTCAATGATGAGGTACGTGATTATGAAGGTTCATAACATCTACAGTTAGTAACAATCTGTTTTCCATAGTATTTTCCTATAATCAGAAGCGTGATTCGAAAATATTGGAATGATTCAAGTAATATCTACAATATTAGGTATATCTCATAGTTGAAAGCATGCGTAGGCCTTGCGAAAACAAGGAATAGTTGATTTTTGTGATGGTAACATTTCATTTCATTCAATCGTGTATTTATATATTTCTCAAGTTAATCGTGAATTGAAGAATGAACCAACACAGCTAAAGCATTGTGAAGAAGAACTTTTCAACTTAAAAAATATATAGATAACAATACTTTGAGGCCACTGTCCCTGTCCTGGAGAATATGCTGAGACACGAAAGACATTTTCTAGAGGACAACCATTATTTTTCCGAAATTACCCACCATATTATTCTGTATAGAAATGCAACCTACACACATGAAGGAGAATAGCAAATATAATGGATATTTTCCTATTATATCCCAATGAAATTTTATTGATGGTTGCCTAAAGTTTTTGGCAGCAACTTCACATATCACATATACAATATTTATACATATTTATGAAGCATAATAAGGAGCATTTATCAAACTAATATCCCCTGATTTTTCTACTTTCAGTTCTAAAATGAATGTTGAGTGATCACTTACCAGAAGCTTCATTTCAATGCGATTGATAGAGATGCAACTGTTGAGGTTAAGCGGGTGCAGTCTACCTTATATATACTAGGCCATCCTCCCCTGATGGTGATAGTACCCATACTTTCAGATTCCCCTCACCGGTAAACGCCTATGCATAAAAAATATAGCGTTGCAATGATGATAATTTGACGATCCATTTTTATATCTATTTAATTCCATTGGCAACATACACGCCTTTAAAGATACTGGCAGAAATTTCTTCAACTCTCGATTTCAAACATTGAACACAATCAATATAATAATATTTGATTAACATCGGTATAAAGAAACGCTTTCAAAGAAATTTGAGTATGTTCATCCACTAATACACAAGGAATATCAACAACTATTTTTTGCGAAAATGTGACCTATATACATACATGGTGTACTGTACTCGAAGGTGATGTATTGTCTCAACAGGATGTAGATCGCATCAAGATAAAAGATTTCACACCAAATATAGCCTACATATAGGTATGAAAATTTCGAAATGACAGAGTTCAAAAACTCACTGATAAGATCGAACCTTTTACAGCTTTTTCATCTCAATAAGTTCCCAACTTGGGTAAAGGAGAATTTTGGTGAGATGGATGACTTTGATCTGATGCGACATTATCAAGACAGATGCATGCTTACTCTTGAAATCATCCTGCGTATACCAATCACAGCTCAGTATTTCCTACTTGAACCTCATAAATCGAAAATGTATTTTACTTACAGATTAGTTGTTCACTCATCAGCTCCATGATAAGTTTTACCTATACATAAACCCATAGATCTAAATTTGGATCTATGATAAATCTTAATTTCTCTGGATGTAACCCTCTGTTAAATTTTTGAACGACTCTTGCAATATTATTGTAGGATAATGAGATTGTGAAGAAAAATTTTCTTTAGTTTTCTGTTTTTCCCAAGTCTTCTAGTTAGGTAGGTATAAGAGTGGTACCTATGTGTATTTTTGTTGTATATAGGTGCCCATAGCTTATAGACTTTTCCATTGTCTCATACTATTTTCTGTTCAATAATACTATTGATTTGTGTTATACACAATCATTCCATGCCATCAAAATCATGAATCAAAATCGAACGATAAAACATTTGTTCCCCAATGAACTCTATTCAAAAAATAATGATGATTTCGAAAAATAACATAAAGAATATAAAATATCAATAAAATATAAATAATTTCATTGTGAATGGCTGCATCTGTTGTAAGATCGATAACCATCATAACAGATGTTAAAACAAATGAATATATAAAGCTAGACGTACACTATTTCAACAGTTTATTTCCAGTATAGGAAAATTGGGTATGTTTGGAGCAAGTGCAAAGAGTGAATTTTCAGAAGGGAACAAGGAATATTAGTTCATAGACTGCCGAATGAAATATAGAGTAGGTAGGTATGAGGGACAAGAAGTAATTTCTGCAATATTGAGAAATTTTCCATGCTCCCGATTTCTATATTTCCAACCACACACATTTCATTGTTTACAGCAATATCTTTCAGGAAATATCAATGATTATTCGGATCTGTATGGAATGTCATGATGGTTTGTTGCATGGTATACTTATATTATACTCACAACACAGGGATGTTCTTGGTACTTATGTCCTGCAGTACAAGAACGCAAATGGCTCTGTGGTTGTCCATTTGATGTCCCTTCTGGTATATCCATTAGTTTTACTATTCAGTCCCTGATACAATTGGAATTCGTTTTATAAATTGAAATTACCTGCTCTGTCGGGACTTGATCCAGCAACATTTCGATGTTCCGATTACAAGTCCAGCGCCTCACTCACAGCGCTATTCCGCCGTGCAATTTTAGACATTTCATCTTAAGAATTGCAAAAAAATCAAAAAATCAAGTATCCTACTTCAAGACAACTTGAATTTGACAACTCGGCGCGGTTGTGTGCCCGAAAAGTTGTATAGAAGTGACGTCAGAATTGCTACAGTGTATAGAACATTGGACGGAAATAGTATATTGTGCAACAAGTGGGGAAAGTTCAACTTTTCTCACGAGTGTGAAAGTTTGTGGCACGAGCCCAGAGATTCATCAAGTCAAGTAGCTTGATATTTTAACAAACTACTTGACTTGACTTGAAAATCAAGCTCGTGGCAAATTACGTACTTGACTTGACTTGAATTTGAGATATTTATTACTTGACTTGAAATCAAGCTACTTGATAATACTTGATCTTGATACGCACGAGTCGCACGGCGTATATTTCTGCAAGCTCGCTCACGCTTAGACAAAATACGGGGGTTCCCCGAGATCCGAGCTGACTGAATCGATCGCGCAGTCAGTCTTACGATGCCATTTTCATTTCATCAGTTATATACAGGGTGACTCACGGTCGATGGTAGGTTAGACGTTCACGTTTATGATAGGAACGCAACACAGGATTTTTCTGAAAATTTCGCATCTCACATTTCATCACCGGTACTATCGATCTAATATATTTTCAAAATCACGACGTTGCCGCTTCTATAGAAAAGTAGGAACCACTTTGTTATTTCGAATTGAACACCCTGTATTTTATTGCATTTTCAGATTCTCCTTGAAGAGTTGATTTCATCGATATATCACACTCGGGGTATAGCGGAAATGATTATGGAGATATAGAGTGCGAAAAATCGAGATTTTTCAACTTCAGGAATTTTTTGTGTATGCGAAATTTTCAGAAAAATCCCGCGTCGCGTTCCCCATAAACGTCTAACCTATAACATCGACCGTGAGTCACGCTGTATAGATACACATTGAAACTGCTGAAAATCAAGTAGCTTGATAGAACTACTTGATTTTTCAAGTACTTGATAAATAATTACTTGACTTGACTTGACATTAAAAAACTTTCGCTTGACTTGAACTTGACTTGATTTCAAGTCAAGTCAAGTCAAGTAGCTTGAATATCAAGTCAAGCCGTGAATCTCTGCACGAGCCTGAAGGGCGAGTGATGCAAACACACGAGTGAAAAAAGTACTTTTCCCCTCATGTTGCACACTATACTTTCTCTACATCTGCACTTATTCAAAGAATCCAAAGTGATGAAAATATTGGTTTTCATTTTATAATGTGGCAATATGCCACAATAAATATTGTGACCAAAGAGTATACGCCTTTCCTATATAGTTCCACAAAGTATTTAAAAAAAGTACATGCACTTTACGAAAAAGATTTTATTTCTGTATTTTTTTTAGATTCTATACATTCTTCGTATATGCCAATCCATACTTTTTCCTTGGAATTTCCGTTAACAAATCCAACTTTCGCAGCTTTTTCCATTATCTCCGTCTCTGGCGGTGTATTTATCGAAATCGTCACATCTCGGTATATACATCAAATTATTTATTATGAATGGTTGGAATAATATTTGATGGAAAATGCGATTTCTATCAAAGGCACTTATGAGAACTACCCTGAAGAATTAAAAAAAAAAACTCCTTCTGACAGTTGTGACAACTATTCAAAGCTGAACAGCAGCCAATTAAGTTTTGGTTTTGTTGATTCTCCATGGAAATGTATGTTGTGTTGGCAAATTGCCGTGAGAATAGTTATTTGTTTAACTAGGCAGCAAAGTAGTAGATTGACTGCCGAGGCTGAATTCATAGCCGAGCGTATAGCAGGAAGACCGAGCGCAATATACTGATCAACTTGAATATAGTTTTTTTTCTTCAAATGACATTAATAGGTGAACTCCTACTGCCTAGGCAGACAAATTTTGTTGCAATGCACCAAATAATAATTTGAATCAAATTGGTATTAGATATATGACTTTGAGTGAACCCAAATGATGAATAATTTGGACTTGCGTGAAATTGAAAAGAATTTGGAGAGAAAATTATATGTTCCACATGGCAAAACAAAAGATACAAAGCTTTGGCTGCTTTCCTAGCCTTGGCTAAGCCTCGTGCTATGCCGCGGCATTGAATCTTGTTCTTCCCTAGTAAAATAAATAACTATTTGCTCCCAAATTCTATCGAATATTAGGAAACGAATATGAACGAGTTATTCTCGTATTGGGCGACATTCAATCGTCATCTCTCCTAAAACCACATTAACCTACTTGTCTTTACTATAGACCTAACAATCATTTGCTATTTCATTTACTTCAATTATTGTTCATTCTGGTCCTTGTATTGATTGATAGTTGCTTTTGCTTATTGAGGGCATTTGCGTTAAAAATGCCGTGTTTACGCAAGAGGATATAGCCACTAAATAATTTAATAGTATACCTTCAAGAATCAATATCAAATCGAGTTGGCTTACATAATTCGCAACTTACTTTTCATGGTCTGCTAAGTTTAGATATATCATTCGACTTTGGTCAAATGCATCAATTAATAGGGTTCAATTTCAAAATTTTCGGACATGGAGAACCTCGATAGTTATAGCTACTAATTTTTTAATTAGTCCTCGGAATGACAAGTGAGTATAGGTGGTAATCGAGAATGAAGTTTTTCTAAGAAGAAAATCGTTCGAGAGCACCAAAATGCAAACATTTTGATCTATAATAATGATTGATATACACCTTTTCTGATAATGACAAATTCGATGATTCGCTCCAAGATGCCACTTTGTTGAACATTTGAAATATACAACTTGTTTGCAAAATGTTTCTTGAAGATTACCAGCCAGTCATCGCAAATTCTGTTCAATATATCAGTACCAATATTATGAAGGAGAATGATTTGTTGGTATGTTTGTAAGTTTGTTTGTTTGTATTGAATAGGCTCCGAAACGACTGCATTGATTTGAAAAATTCTTTCACCATTGAAGGCCGACTTTATCCCTGATGATCATAGGTTACTTTCTACCGCGAAATGTTTCATTCCTACGTGAAAACAGGTAATAGGACAACGGAAAGTAACAATAATTATCATTCCGTAATTATCTTCTCCACAATCATAACTTCTGAACGGCTGAACCAATTGGGTTGAAATTTTATATGGGTATTGCGATGATTTTCTGGATGATTTGAAAATACAATTGGACGCAGTAGATGGCGCTGCTGTCGGTATGTCAACTAGGAAACAGCTTGACCGATTGGGTTGGAAATTTTCATGTGTATTTCC